TTATATCAATTTTGTTAATTATATCCTTTGTTATTTAAGCCTTTGTTATTGTTATCAATTTTATATGTGTCACTTCACTTATTTCTTTTCTGTTTGTTCATAACTTTCATAGTCTATGGAGATTGAAGATTCTGAAAGATTAATTATTTTCATTATAAAAGCAAAACCTGCCTATTGTAGAAAACTTAGTAAATGCAGAAAAGTATGAAAATTAAAATTTAAATAACCCACAATCCTACCACAAGGGACAACCATTTTAATATATTCATGCATCATTTAGTTTAGTAGTGTTTTAAAAAATCACAATGCAATTACTGAGTTTACTGGAAAAGCAAGACTAGGCACGCTTGCCACGTTCATAACATCCTTCTAAGCAGTTTCTTTCACCTAAATTACTCTCCTGCCACCAGATGATCTTGGCCCCTAGCTGGATCTGACAGGTCAGAATGGGTACTACTTTAATGTCCACATCTTAATCCCTGGAACTTGCTGATGTTTTATGTTACACGGCAAATGGGAATTAAGGTTGCAGATAGAATTAATATTGCTTATTAACTGACTGATTACTCTGTATTATCCAGGTGGGCCCAATGTAATCACAGGGTCCTTAAAAGGGAAAGAAGTAAGCCAAAAAGGAGAGTCAGAGAAAGAGGCGTGACAACGAAAGCAGAGTCAGAGAGATGCTATGTTGCTGGCTTTGAAGATGGAGACAGGAGCCACGAGCCAAGCAGTGCTTGTGACCCCAGGCAGCTGGAAAAGGCAGGCAAACAGGTTCCCTCCTAAAGCCTCCAGGAAGCAACACAGCTCTACTGACGCCTCAGTTTTAGACCAGTGAGACCCAGGTTGAACTTCTGAAATACAGAATCAAGATAATAAATTTGTGTTGTTTTAAACCACTGAGTTTGGGGTAATTTGTTATGGTAGTTTGTTATGGTAATTTGTTAAGGTAGGAAACTGAATTCCTTCCTTCCTTTACTCTTTCAAAAAATAAGGGCTTTCTATGTGCCAGGCACTGTATTAGGTGCTGGGGCATCATGCTAGATGCAGGAAACAGTAGTGAAGGAACACACGAAAAGAAACAGAAATAGAAAAAAAAAAAAAAAAAGAATTGACACTACTCTTAATTCCAGAGTTTAGCAGTCAATTTATCAGAAGAGCTGCAGCCTCTCGGCCTCTTGCCTTATTATTGGGAGACAATTCTCCATGGGTCTCTCATTCTTCATATCTTTTGAGAAGAGGCACTGAGTAACTCTGTTCAAGATTAGTTTTCAAATAATCAAATAAAATTTAGGCCAGAAAAAATGGCATTGATATAACAGGTACAAAAAGGAAACCTCACAATAAAATTTTGGCTTATTTTATATGGAGAAAAGCAGATTAGGCGAATTAAAAATATTGACTATATCTCTTCAACAAATGGTGCTGGGAAAACTGGACAGCCACATGCAAAAGATTGAAAATTGACCATTCTTTTTCACCACACACCAAAATAAACTCAAAATGGATCAAAGACCTAAAGATTAGGCCTGAAACAATAAGTCTTCTGGAAGAGAATATAGGCAGTACACTCTTTGACATCAGTTTCAAAAGAATCTTTTCAGACACTATAACTCCTCAGTTGAGGGAAACAATAGAAAGAATAAACAAATGGGACTTCATCAGACTAAAGAGCTTCTTCAAGGCAAGGGAAAACAGGATTGAAACAAAAAACAGCTCACTAATTGGGAAAAAATATTTACAAGCCACTTATCCGACAAAGGGTTAATCTCCATAATATACAAAGAACTCACACGGCTTAACAACAAAAAAACAAACAACCCGATCAAAAAATGGGCAGAGGACATGAACAGACATTTCTCAAAAGAAGATATGAATATGGCCAATAGGCACATGAAAAGATGTTCACCATCGCTAATCATCAGGGAAATGCAAATCAAAACTACACTAAGATATCACCTTACACCCGTTAGATTGGCAAAAACATCCAAAACCAAGAGCGACAAATGTTGGAGAGGTTGTGGAGAAAAAGGAACCCTCATACACTGTTGGTGGGAATGCAAACTGGTACAGCCACTATGGAAAACAGTATGGAGATTTCTCAAAAAGTTAAAAATAGAAATACCCTATGACCCAGCCATCCCATTACTGGGTATCTATCCTAAGAACCTGAAATCAGAAATCCCAAGAGTCCCTTGCACCCCTATATTCATCGCAGCATTATTTACAATAGCCAAGATGTGGAACCAACCTACATGCCCAGAAACTGATGATTAGATAAAGAAGATATGGTATATATACACAATGGAATACTACTCAGCCATAAAAAAGACAAAATTGGCCCATTCACAGCAACGTGGATGGACCTCAAGGGTATTATGTTAAGCGAAATAAGCCAGTCAGAGAAAGACGAACTCTATATGACTCCACTCATAGGTGGAAGTTAGTATATTGACAAGGAGATCTGATCGGTGGTTACCAGGGAAAAGGGGGGGTGGGGGGAGGGCACAAAGGGGAAAGTGGTGTACCCACAACATGACTAACAAAAATGTACAACTAAAATCTCACAAGGTTGTAATCTGTCATAACATTAATAAAAAAAATTATTGATTATAAAGTGTCAGAATAATTTCAGTAAAAATAAAAGTAGAAAAACTGGAATTGTTAACTAAGCTATACAGAAAATTGATGAAGGAACTAACTGGCTTATGGCATTTGCTCTGGAAATATTTATTGGTTGGAAAATTGTCTGGGTTTGTATGCAAGTTGGTATACTCTGATTATACTACTTGTATTCAAGATTTCCTCAGAGCCAAAACATTGGGGTCAAAATGATGTGATATTTCTTACATCAATAACTACCTAACTAGACGGAACTTTTGAAATGTCATACCGAAATTATGACTTCTCATGCATTTGATAAATTACTTTTAAACAAGCTAATTCCCAAAGCACTGCAAGATGCAACGCCAACATGAAAATGCCTTTGGTCTTTGCCTATGTGTATTTATCTACTCTCAGGAGTGAAATCTGTGAGCCTTCAGCAAAATAATTTCAAAAAGATATCAAGTAATCAACTGCAACATCCACCAGATAAAGCAGAAAAGAATTTGAGTGTTTTTTGTTTCTTTATCTTGATTCCACATGTGTGATCTTCATCTGATTTCCTTGTGAATGCTTCTATACCAGTAAGTGAAATAAAACAGTTCAGGATATTTCCTCTGATTATTTACAGAAAAGATTTGCAAATATAAAATTAAATTAAAAAGGCACTTCCTCCTTATTTATGCATTCTTAAAATCTTTCTTGTTTTCATTATAGAAAAAAACAGAAAAATAGAATAAAATCACATAAAGTCTCACCACTCTCAAGATAATCATAGTTACATTTTGCACATTTCCTTCCAGTTTTTCAGGACCTTGTATTTTATATAATATCAAATAGCAAAATATAATAAACAGTCTGATTTTTCACTCCAAAGTAATATATTCTTACTATAGAAAATTTAGAAAAACTGTACATATAATGAACAAATTATCAAAAATATAAAACAATTGGGTTAATGGCTTTAATCAAATTTACTATAAACTAGAGCCAGCCCTGATGGCCTGGTGGTTAAAGTTTGGCGCGCTCTGCTACGGCAGCCCAGGTTCGGTTCCGGGGTGTGGAACCACACCACTTGTCTGTCAGTAGCTGTGCTGTGGTGGCAGCTCACATAGAAGAACTGGAAGAACTCACAACTAAAATATACAACTGTGTACTGGGGTTTTGGGGAGGAAAAAAAGAGGGAGATTGGCAACAGATGTTAGCCTCCAGCGAATCTTTCCCAGTCAAAAAAAGAAAAAAGCATTTACTATAAACTACGAAAAGTTCACCAAGTAAATGAATCAGTTTTACTAATTTCTAATTCACTACATTTTTAAAAACATATTAAAAAAATTAAACGTTGCACATAAAAGTAACACTGGAAGGCTACAAAAGCTGTATATAGTTTCCAATCAACTTCTTCCCAGAGTGAGGAAAAATTGCAACTACTACAAAGATTAATTGGATTGTCAAAAATGTATGTAATCAACCACATAAATTGAGAAATGTGCCACAGACCAATTTGTATTACAACAGTGTGCATTAAAAGATATTGACGAGAGATAGAAGACAAAATAAAGGTAAACAAAGAAAAAACACCTCTACTGAACCAGCTTAAGGACAAGCTACTACCACCAGTTTGTAGTCCTCAAAGTTGGTATATATTGTTCCTAATAATACACCTAAAGGCAGTAAAGTAGGTCTACTCTTATCTTAGGAAAAACCTTAGTGTCCTGGCAGAGGTTAAGAGGTGTTCTGAGAAAAAATATAGCGTACATGGCCAAACACGTTTGAGAAAGGGTGCATATTATCATTTCCTCCTAGAAACGCACAAAGAATGCGAGCATATTAAAGACCCTCAGAAGTCAAGCTTCAAGTGTAACTTGGTTATTTCAGAATTTCTCACATTTATTTGATAAAGAGGTTCATCTTTTTCCCCCTCCAAACACCTATGAATATCTCACAAAGATGTCCTGCAGAACCCAATTTGGGAAATGCAGACAGTCCAGTCGATACCTACTCAGGGTCTCATCCAATAACCTTGGATGTTAAAAGTTTGAGCAGTTTGTGGTTCATTGCTCTCAAATAATCTCTTGTTTCACCTCCAATCTAGTCTCCTATTGCCTCCCCTCAAAGTTACTTCCAAGTATCCTCTCCTGCTTACCTGTCACCTTCCTATGTCTGCTGGACTACTAGAATCTCTCAAACACTAATAAGTCCAGACCAACACTGATTTCATGATTCCAAATATAAATCATGCCTACGACTACTCCTACTAGTAAGTGGTGAGCAGATCTCCCGAGATCTTCCATGAGTTTTCCCCACTCTTGGAAGAGCCATACTACTTTACCACCTTTTATTCCTTCTAAATCCTTTACGAAAGAAGAAGTCTCACTATATTCTAGAATTAATCTTACCTCTAGAAACTTGAAAAAGGCTCTTTCTTTTGAAAAATTCCAAAGCATAATTCAGAGCTTTCCAGTCGGGTTGCTGTCAGGTGTGTAGGAGACAGCACCCTCCTCAGCTCTAGGACGGTGGGGTAGGACCTCCAGGGCAGGGCAGTTGTCTCCAGCCACAAGCAGCTTTACAGGGTTTTCTCTGGGTGCCTTAAAAATATTATCATATTTCATGTTGTCAGGGCATGAAAAATGTTGAAAAGAAGAACATTAATATGCTCAGAACATTTGTACACTGACCTACTTTTCCGTAAGTTCAAAAAGAACATGAAATATTGAATTAAAAATTCAACAAAATTCAGAATATATAATAACAATAAGAAATATATATATATTTAAATAACATTATTAGGAACACTCTGACAAACTCCAAGACATTTTAGTAGAGCTATTTAACTATGATTTAAAGGATATTGTTTAAAATATTAATAATGAAAATCATGTTATTCCTAAAATATGAAAGAGTCATAGGAAAACATGGTTATATTGAACACTTTCTTTTTAAACCAAGAGAAACATCCATGAAAACTTCTAAATGAGGTTAGGCTATCAAAACGTAGTGCCCTTTGAATATTATAGCCCATAGAATTCAACCTTCATTTGATTATATAGTTCACATTGCTATGATTTATTAAGTACAATATGGACAGAAATGACATAATACCTTAGAAGTAGACATTATTAAACAGCCTGAGATTAATACCAAGGACACCAAAGCTATTGAATAATGCAATATGTTAAGCATGACATAGCAGCATCTACAAACTATAATTTGTAATACATTGTTCACACAAGAATTAATGATAGGGAAAATTTTATTGATGAATAAAAGGTTTAGTCAGCGAGTACATGCAATGACATAATACTATCAGAACAAAACAAACTGATGCTTTTTTAACTACTGCCTGGTAGATTACATGAAACTCAACAAAAGGCAAACTTTTGACAGAGCATCTTTGTATTTTCCAGATTTACAGAGCAATTCTCTTTGAATATTAAATAACCACATTTTCAAATTTCCACTCTTTTCCTAGACTGGTTGCTGGAGGCAAATTTCAGATTAATTTCTAACACTTTTGATGAAAGAATGTATTTAAAGCAAGAATTCATATTAGTCAAATATCCATCTGTCTTCTACATAAGGCCATTCAATTCCTCCCAGAATCTGTTTTCAAACGTGCATCTTTTTGCTGGGAACATTACTTATTCTTCCCCAAAACTAGGACAAACATGTAAATTATCCATGAGTCATATGGCTCTCAAATACACAGATTTCATATTACACTATCATTATAAGCCCATGCAATGCCCCTCTCATTTTATTTCATTATTCTCTCCCCTTCGTCCTACCCATTCTCATTTACATTGTCCTTCCCACTAGTATACGTTCACACTAGTATATTCAATATATGTTCTTAGGCATCTGAAAACAAAGGGCTGAGAAATAATACATCATTGTTTTCTCTGTGTGTGTATGTTGAATGTACATAAGTAGTTTTGCCCTATAGAAATAATTCTATATTTCTAAGATCTATCCACATGGCTACACATAAAAATGGTTAACTACTTCTTATTGCTGTATTGTATTCCATTGTATGTACACAACACACATTCTGATTATCCATTTCCTAGGGACAAATATCAAGGCTCCTGTAACTTTCTGTTAACACAAATAATGCTATGATATTATCCTCACAAATGCTCCCTTAAAGACCTGTGCACAGTATAAACTCATACGTGGGAATGATATGTATATAGAATATATGGATAATCAATTTCACTAAGTATTATGAGTTTTCTCTACCACCAATAATGCATGAGGTTTCTCATTTCTCCTCATTCTAGCCAGCAGTTGGTATTAGTTGACTTTTTACATTTTTACCAATTCTATGTTTACTTAATTTGCGTTTCTCTGATTTCAAGTGCGGTTGAACATCTCTTCATGTACATATTGGCTATTTAGGATTCCTCTTCCATGAATTGTCTAATTTTTATTCCTTGTCCAACTTTTGTTTGTTTCCTTATAGATTTTATAAGGAAGTGTTAATCACTTTTTCATTTTAAATTTTGAAAACATCTTTTAATCTGCCACCTGTCTTTTTTGTATAGAAATATTTCACTTTAATATGATCACATCTATCGATTTCCACCACCCACCCTTAAGGTTTGTACTTTTGTAGTCGTGTTTAATCATTCTTTCCTATCCCAAGTTCACAAAGATAGCCTCATATATTTTATTAACTTTATATGTTGCCAGGTATAGTTAGGTTTTTAATCCATTTGGAATTTATTTTTGTATCTGAAGTGAAGTAAGGATCTGAATTTACTTCTCCCTATATATTGAGCCATATCCTAATAATCCCTCTTTTCCCTTCTGCTTTATGATGCTAATTTCTCCCACATTCCACCTTCTCATATATAACATGGGCTTGTTCATTGGTTTCCTATTCTGCTGCATAATTTTTTTATCTGTTCCTGTACCAGTACCATATGTTTTTATTGCCATGGTTTTGTAAGATGTTTTAATATATTCAATAAGACAAGTTCCCTCTCTTTGGTCCATTTTTATTCTTCTATGTACATTTTATAAATTATTTGTCTAGTTCCTCCCAATGCCCTGATGAAATTTTGATTCAAACTGCATTGAGGGTTGGCCTGGTGACATAATGGTTAAGTTCCTGCACTCTGATTTGATGGCCTAGGGTTTACGGGTTTAGATCCTGGGCATGGACCTACATACCACTCATCAAGCCATGCTGTGGCAGCATCCCACATACAAAATAGAAGAAGATTGGCGCAGATGTTAGCTCAGGGACAGTCTTCCTCATCAACAAAACAAAACAAAACAAACAAACCTGTGTTGAATTTATAGATTAATTTATGGAGAATGATATTTTTATAGAGTTAATTTTTGCCATCCATGAACTTGGTACTTTTCTCCTTTTACCTAGGTCTTATTTTATGTCGTTTAATACAATTTGAAAAGTTCTTTGTAAAGGATTGGTACATTCTTCATTAGGTTATACCCTATGTACTTGGTAGTTTTTGTTGCTATCATGTTGCTATCACATTTTCCATACTAATTTCTAGTTGGTTGCTGCTGATACAGAAGTGTGTTTTGATGTTTACATGAAACTTGAATTAATATATGTAAATATTTGTAAAATTTCTTATATAGTACTTAGTGAGCGCTCATACAGTCCTTAGTATTTGCTATGATTGTTGCTGCTGTTGCGCATTATCGATCTTGCATCTGCACAAGCTTTCTGAATTCTCCTATAAATTCTAATAGTTTGTCCATTGAGTCAATCAGGTCTTCCAGCACAACATCTAACAGTCTACAAACAGGGACAGAGTTATGCATTCCATCCAATCCTCATACCTCCTATTTGTTCTTGTCTTATTGTATTGACTAAGTCCTCCTCACTGTATTGAACGGGAGCTGTGATAAGAAGCCTCACTTTCTTGTTCCTAATCATAAAGACAATGTGTCACAATTTTTTCCCAGTACATTTCCTAGTAGGGTTTTGCTAAAAACTTTCATAAATTAAAGAAATTATTTTTCATTCCTTTTTAACACTTAAAAAATATCATAAGTAGATGTAAAACTTTATCAAATGTTCTTTCTGCACATGTTGAGGTAAATTTTTCCCATTTAGACCATTAATGTCCAAAATTATATTGATATCTTTTCTGGTGATGAACCTCCTTACATTTCTGGAATGAAACTCACAACACCATGTTTTGTTTACTAAAACACCATTGAATTCAGCTACTATTTATTTAGGATTTCACATTTTGTTCATAAGTGAAATAGGCTAATAGATTTCTTTTCTTTGTACTGTTCTCACCGAGTATTGGTCTGAAGATTATAACTGAGTTATTAATTCATTTGAACTGAGACTTAAAATTAGTTGTGCAGCTTTCCCTTATTTTCTTTTTTCTGGAACACTTTTTATCAGTTGGACTGATCTTTATCTTAAAAGTGTTGAAGAACTCAAAACTTTGAAACTACCTGTTCCTGTGAATTAAGTTTTTGGTCTCATTCTAACCCCTTTTTAACATGCAGAGACTGAAAGTAAAATCTGCATATTTCTGATTCCCTGGCAGTTAGGATTCTTAAAGTGATTTAAGTTCTGTCAATGGGATTCACTTGTGAGAGGTTTTTTTTTTTTGTGAGGAAGATTGGCCCTGAGCTAATATCTGTTGCCAATATTCCTTTTTGCTTGAGGAAGATTGTTGCTAAGCTAACATCTGTGCCAATCTTCCTCTGTTTTACGTGGGATGTGCCTCCACAGCATGAATTGACCAGCGGTGCTATGTCCACGCCCGGGATCCAAACCTGCAAACCCAGGGCTGCCAAAGCACAGCACGCTGAACTTAGCCACTATGCCACCGGGCTGGCCCCTCACTTGTGGGAGATTTTGATTCAAGATGGAGTCACGTGGAGACAGGGTACAGTCCGTTTGTTTTTATGCTACACATTGTAGTAGTGGCAGTGTTAGACTAACGCCAGTAGTGCTGGCAAAAATTCCTGATCATCATAGTGACCCCAGCTACCTTGGTTACCCAGTTCTACTGGGTTATGGAAATCATTTTTGAAAGCTCAGAGTCTATTTCTTCAGTCTTTCCAATAATTCTGTGATTTATATACATTCCTTAAAAAACTCTCTTCAGATTATACTAGCTAGAGTATATTTGCTTAACTAACACTAAGAACCTTAACTATAACAAATTTTACTTAGACTGGAGGCCTGGAGAATGATTAGAAATTTCTTTCACGGTTAATGGGCAATCCAAGTTTTCTATTTCTTCCCAGGCAAATTTTTCCTAGAAATTTATTTTTTCATTTAGATTTTCAATTTTACTACTGTATAGTTCAGTTTTTGTTATTTTTAAAATCTCTATTATTTCTATAGTTGATTCTCTTTCGGGGGATAAATTTTAATTTATAGTGTCTTATTTGGTTGATCAGCTTTGTGAGATATTTGTACTTTTAAAAAATCTTTTAAAAGAAATATAATTTGTATTGTTTGTCATCTCTATTGATTTCTTTCTTTCCTATTGATTTTTCCTTATTTTTATTATCTCCTCCCTCTTGTTTCTATATGTTTAGTCTGTTGTTTACCTTTCTAACTCTGAGTTTAATG